AGCAAGAATGTTACTTGAAAACCATTCTGCCAAATGGTTTTGAAGAGCGCAATTATGATACTTGGCCTTATACCTACTTACTACAAAAGTTCAGCTGAATTGATATAAAAATATTATTTCTCAGTTAAACTCCGAAATATATTTTTTTAAACTCAAATATATACTGCCATAAGAGAAGTACACGTTTAATACTACAGTCAACTTGGTGAATATGCCTGTGATTTTTTTTGTCTATATGAAAAATAGTAATAGAGCTATGAGGTCACTATTTTATTATGTTACATAACCCGAAATAATACTGACTTACACATTTAAACCAGTTCGTCCATTTAAACAGGTTACCATACATGCAACACTGCCACTGCTTTTTGTTTAAAAGCAGTGTATTTCATAAACATCTAAAACTTATTTTAAAGTTTAAATAGTCAGAATATAAAATAAACAGACATTTGAAGGAACTACTGGATCTTATCTGAAGAATTTTTCAAGCATCAGTAACTGGGTCAAATTCTGGAAATATTTCAGAAGACAAAAGCTAAAAATACTTTTAAAAATTGAACTTGTTAGTTTTATTATACAAACATTCTGCAATAAGGGTATCAAAAAAAGTACTCAGGCTAAGTTAACAACATTTTTTACATTCCTAAAACAGAACTTTTCCTTCCTTCATGACTGCACCGAAAGACAAAGTTGTCAGGGGTCTGAGGTTCTACAACATATATTAAGTCAGGACAAAAAAAACAGCTACAATGAAAACTGATACGCACTTTTAAATAATGTCTTCATACAAGAACTTGGTATCTTTCTCTGAATGGAGTGGGGGAGGAAAAAAAATAAAAGGAATTTCATGTTTCGATGTCTCTGTAGAATTTAGTTTCACATGTCCAGCAGTCTCTTCACAGCTTTTACACTCCATTGTCTTCACCCATCTTCAGACTGTTAGAAACGGTACAAGTGGAAGTACCATGCTTACAGTAATTTCAGCATGAGGTTAACTCTGCCCCGCCATGAGCAGGCTGCATACAAAAGTGTTTGTCCACTGAAGCTTTGAGAAACCAGACTGTAAAATAAAACTGCTTTCAGTACACTTACTGATAATGATACAAACTGGTCTTCGCGTTACTCCCCCATCAGAAGAACGCTGAAACCCGTCAGTGCCTGCACCTCTTCAGAGCTCTAGATCACAGGAGTTAGCCAGAGAGGCAAGCACAGCTGAGCCACTGACCAGTGTCCATAACGGACCCAAGAACTGGCTTCTGGAGAACTTCGTACAGCTAGAGTTGCTAGAAGTCGGAGAAGAATAAGCTAGTAGGGAGATGTAACATTAAAACTATGAGGAAATGAAAATAAAGAGCTTCAGCTTGCAAATTTCTTAAGAACCAGAAAGTATCCATATGCTTTAAGAAGATATGAAAGCCGAAAGATAAATCTATACTGGTTGGGGTTTTTTATCACTGAGATGGTAGCAGTAGGTCAGTAAGTTCACACCACCATTCAGGACACCACAATTAGCAGGAAATAGCAATCAAGAACAAATTCTGAACCCCTCTGACACCTTCCAGACTCCTGTGCATTACGCTGAACATTAATTCTCGCATACACAGACGACAGAAAAGATGAGAAACAAAAGTATACAAATTCCAGAACAAAACTGGGGGACGTGCCTGATTAAGGAGTTGAAGAGGATGTCTCAGAAGAGCGAGCAAGAGCAGTTTGGGAATGTCTTCACACCTTTTTCTTGTTTAAATAAAAGACTACAGCTCTTCACTAAATTTGGAACTATCTATATTGTTCACCCTTAAAAGCCTATGCCAAATCTAAAAAAAAAAAAAAAAAAAAAGAAAAAAAAAAATCAGCTTCTTAATGCATATCCAGTAGGATTTATTTCATTTCAGCCAAAATGTTGAAGTCCTTAAGTCTTAGAAAGCAAAAATCCTTGGGCATGGAAATTTTTTCTAGGATATTAAAATTACCAAATTAAGGCAGAATTTGATGACTTGGACATTAGCTCTCAACTTGCTATGCATTCATCATTTGGAAAAGAAAATAATTTAAAAGCGTATTTTAAGTTTTGTAACATGCTGCATTGAAAAAGGTAGTCCTGAACTCCAAGTTACCCAGGAGATTTTGATGTGTGGTACGTGAGCCTGTGGGGTTTTTTTAATTCACTTCACTGCTTAGAACCTCAAAAAACCCCACCAGACCATCTGTGACACTTGTTTTGTGCTTCTGTCCGCCCTCTGCTGTCTGAAATGCAGAAAGTAGTCACCTATGCTACAGAGCGCTCTACAGCTCAGCGTTACAGACAATATTTGATCATTGTAGTTTCGTGATTAGCTAGAAATCAAGTGAAGAAAAAAGGAAATGGAATAAGAGAGACAGACTCAGTAGTTCTACATTAAAAGAAAAATCACAGAACACCTAGAAGATGCCGTTTTTAAACTTAATCAAAGATTTCCATAAACCTGTGTGATGCTAACCACAGCAGGAACAAAACTATGAAAACTACCTTGAAAGCAGATTTCTAAACAGTACTGGTTAAAATAGCGGAAAGAGTTACTCTGTAAAATGGAACTGCCTTTCTGCTGGCCACGGGAGCTACATCCATGTGGATAACTTTACTGCTACTGAACTCCAAGAAGCGCCTTACTGCACTTTACATCCACATGAAAAAGTCTCTGGGTCGTTTTAAAACTCAAAGTCCAGACCTCGACTTCTGGCCTTCTGAGTACTGTCTCAGCTTTAAACTTTGCTTCCAGATCTCTGCAGAATTTTTTTTTTAAAGCACCAGCTGAGTGCAAAGAATTTCCTTTTTCTCCTGTTCCTCTTTAATAACAAATCTAAACATGAGATGATTTTTTCACCTCCAAACCGCTTTGCCATGGCCAGACCCATGAAATTTCTGACTTAAACATGTGCATATCATCTCTAATAATAAAAAATATCTCTTAATTCTTACACCATCACTGACATAGGAAGGAATACTTGAAGCTTGCTGACATCCAGTCTGTAATTTAAAAACCAAAACATTCTTTTCAGCCCCATTTTCTTTTTCATATCATTCTAGCATTCTTCAGCATGTTTTGACCCATCCATTTACCATGACCCATCCTTTAATTCATGACAGACACTGAGAAGATTCATCTCAACAATGGGCGTTGCAGTCCTGGGAACAGAGCAAGCGAATCCGTGTAACATTCTTTACCACGCAAACATTCTTTACTATCCTCCAAAACTCACGTTCACTTGCATTAATGATGGACTGTCATTTTCTCAGTAGTTCACAGGAGAGAGAAGCAATAGGAATCAAGCTGGGAGTCCCAATTCATCCCTCCCCCCCCCCCTTTTTTTTTTTGGTTATGAGTTGAAGCAGAAGGCATTTGACTACAACATAACTCCTCCATTTCTTCTTGGCATTCACTCAACATAAGGGAGCTGACAGCAAAGAACTCTTATCCAGGAGAGATCAAGAGGGGACTCATACTACTCCTCATTCAGAATTTCTTTTAAAACCGTGTTTTCCCTTTAATTTGTCATTAATCAGGAAAAGTTACATTATGTAACCAGACACTTCCCACAGGAGAGTGACTCAGCACCCCAACTACACAGGGTAGCAGCTCCGGGGAAAGAGCTCGGGAATTCCCTTCCCATCCTCAGTGCACGGTCCCTACTGCTGCATTGCCAGAGCTAGCAATAGCTGAAATGTCTACTAGAGAAAAGAAAGAATGAAGGCAGATAATGAGAAAACACCTGGCACGCTGCCTCCCACACAACTTATTAACAATTTTGGCAGATTTCACAGTAAATTCTCCAAATATTAAGCTTCTTCAGTGAGGCCTAGTCTGAAGGTCACTGCCATCAGTTTAATGCTGAAGGAAAGGCAACAACCATTGGGTATCTCCACCGGTCTGGTGCCTGCACAAATGGCACAGACATTCATTTGAAACACAGAGACCAATCCAAACCTCTACGCCATGGCATTGCTGTGTGCTACCCAATGCAATGAGAAGAGTCCTTGCACCTGAGAGGTGCCCTTCTGTTTTGCAACATTATCCCAGAAACTTTCCAGAGGGGTCATGGTCATTAACAAACACACAGAAGATCCCACTCTGTCACGTGCAACACGCAGTACTTGTAGCACAAGTCCTTCCCCTATTCTGGATTCTCTCACATGAAAAGCAAACCAGAGAGGACTGAGACAGATGTCTACAACGGCTTACAGAGGAAATCACCCTCATTTGTGATTGCCTGAGTAACTGTTCAGTCACCTAGCTGGCTGTTCACACAGTTAACTCGGAGCTTTACCTCCAAAAACTTCCAATTTGTCATGAATATCAGAAAACAGACCATTCTTAAATTGCTTTAAAACAAGACAGGCTGGATGCGATGTGGAATCTTCAATCTACAGAGGTTCTTAATGGAACTAATATATTGGTATTTATTAAAACTGATTTTATATATTAAAACTGATTTTACTTGCAGCACTTCTTGCAGCAAATGTAAATAGAAAATGATGGACTGTATTCAGACATGTATTATGACAAATGTCACAGAACCCTCAATGGGACAGAGTAAAGCTCATACATACAAACTTTTCAGATGTGGAGAGCATCCGTGACATCCTCTCAGTTACCAACAGATGCTTTGTTAATAAAAGTTGCATATACAAATGTCCACAAAATGTCTTAACAAGATCAGTTGTGACAGTTAAAGATAACAGCTGCCATCATGCTATGTCATATCAAATTACTGCAAAGAGACTTTTTTTTTTTTTCCCCCCCGACATTGTTAACTCAAGAACATTGACTACAAACAAATACAGTTATCTACAGAGGAACTCAAAGTGCAAGATATTTTGCATCACTTCTGCACAAGAGCAGTGACTTTGAGGACCAGATAGGAAAATAATTTTGAACAGCTGGAAATTATAATTGCAGTGTAACACAGCAAAGTCAAACACTGTTTCCTAGAGTCAGCCAAAAGCCAAACCACAGACCTACCTTAAGATACAGAAGCAGCTCTTGGCCCCAGAAGATAAGCGACAGAATCCAAACCTCTGTTTGCTGTCAATGTCTGTAAGCACAAATGTAAAGTTCTGCCCAACTTGGTTAACTGCATGGCTGAAAATAAAGAGAGTAAGAGGAAAAAAAATTAATGCTAAGCTAACTCTGTGTCAAAATTATCTAGTCTCAGTCATTGAACCTGGAACATTTCCTCTTTCGGCAGTTGGGTTTTTTTTTAGAAATTAACTTTGGGAGTATACACCCTCAGAAACTTAAATACGCTAGTTGCTTGGTGAGGAGGAGTAGGGGGGGTGTGGGGGTGTTCCATTTTTTAAGTGTGGGAGGATACTAAAAATGTGTTCATCTTTAGATGAAAATGGCTATGACTACCAACCATCTTCAGTGCAGTTACACCCTGTACAAACCAAACCCATGTTCTCTCATACAACCCAAAATATTTCTTTATTACTCATTTGAGAATTGATTTACTCCAAGAGCAAGACAATGTTTAATAACATGCTAAGCTTCTTCAACACTTGGATATAGACTTGTAGAAGCTTTATTATCCATCTACCAATTTTGCACGTATGCCAGATACATCATTCCAAAATGTTCAGCAACTGGAACCATGCCAGGTGACTCTCCTTTACTCTAGCAGCCAGGCAATCAGTTAAAAAGGAAAACTAGAATAGTGTGCAAAGAAAGGAGAAACTAGAATCAAAAGTACACTGTGCTAGAGCCAGCCATGACTCTAAAGATAATTTTGTAGGACTTTTATGATTTTGAAAAATTGTCTTTTGCCTCATCTGTAAGATTTTAAAGGCTCAAATTAGCACAGGTGAACTAACATTCTTAGATGTTGCTCCCACTCACACCACAGTGGAAAGTATCACTATAGGAAAATTGGCCTAAAATGGAAAAATGAAGTTTAGGAAAACAAAACAAAAAACCCACAACCTACAACAAGCACCAACAACAACACAAAACCCAAGAAACAAACCACTCAAACAAAAAAAACCCCAAGCCCAAGCACTTAAAAATCCATGTTTTTAAAAATACTGTAATTCACATCCGTATTTTACTATTTCGATGATCAAAATAGTAAAATAAGATCAAAATAAGGTGCTTTACATTTAAAGCATGGCACTTTCTGAATGCTAGTTATTAACAAAAGGGAAGACATTCTTGAGATATTACAACATTTGTCTAAAGTTAATCCAATGCTGATGTACTGTGGTGGTAAATTCCACATAAACCACGCGCAATCCACCTCCCGGTTTGTAGAGATGCAGTTTTACCGTTTAACAGAAATTCTGACATGTAGTGGTGAAGCTGGGGCCAATGTAATTATTACAGGACTTTTCATCCAATTTCACATCTATTTGAGACCTCATAATGATACGAAATTAACACTTCTATCAGGTTATGTTCTAGTTTATTTTAGGTTTACTGAGAATGGAGAAAACTGTCCAGCATTTACATGTGCCTCTTTACAAGTCAGTCCTACCAACAGCAACAACAAAACCCATTAAATTCAAGGCCTTTTAACTAACAGTGACAAGCCTTAAAAGCGAGGAAATATTCTCTTCTACGATGCCATATACAGTTTACGTGGGAGATATATGCTCAGTGCCTACAGAAATACAAAAGAAAAATAGACTTTCAGAAATAAAAGTTGGATCCAGATAGGAAACATGTCACTGGCCAACTAAGAAGAACCCTTCACTGGATTCCAAAGAGGGAAGGAAAAACATGCAGCAACGAAGACCAAAAAAAAGTGTTCCAAATTCACAGATGAACAAAAAGCAGATATTTAAAAGCAGTTCAGTAGTCTGAGAATTAGACAGTGTAAGTACTGTCATCCTACTGAAATCTAAATGTCGACAGAGCAACCATTTCCATAAACCATACTGAGCTGCTAGGGGATACCAAAAAATCCCTTACGGGTGTTGTGTTTTATCTGTAAAGCTTGGATGTAATGTTACTATGGTGATTTTAGTAGGGTGTTTTAAAAGGGGATTATATGCTTAATTTTAACAAGGTTGAGAGCAGAGCATGTGTGAGATAGCATCCTAACTGACAATTAAATTTATGGAACAAGAAAAAAAAAAACAACAAACCACGCTTCATTTGCAGCAGGGAGAAACTTGTTTATTAAACAATTGTGACAAGTTGGTAAGTTCCTCCGAAGTCAATCTAAACATTCTTGCGTTTATGTCATCTGCAGAAACTATGTCTGATAGATCTTGCTCAAGTTTCAGTTGTCAGTTCTTCACATGGAAGAATAAACTTCCCAACATAAAAAGTGCTTTTCCTAAGATCTTAGTATCAAGACTTAAGATTCAGGGCTCTATTTTCAAATGTGAAGAAGGTCTATTTAGGGCCTAACAGGATGGAAGCACCATGAATCTCATCTCTGAATGGGCAGACAGAAGTTAAGGTTGGAATGAAGGGGAGAGAAAGGAAGAGTGTTTTCCTGAAAAACTCCCATCACCAGATGTATCTGCGTAACACAAACTAATCCTGATAGGAAATTTGGCTGAAGAGAAGTTCTTCACTCCTGCAGCCGGAGAATAATCTCTGCCTTGATCCAGCAGCCGTAAGAGTAGAAAACCCATGGTCCACTGCCTAAAGGACGGGGCAACTATTCCCTGGTGATTTCTGACCACTGGTGACAACGTATATAAAAAGAATCAATATAAAAAGAAGTAAGAGTCCGTGTCAATAAGTGGCAAAACCTTCAACACAGAGAACAATCAGACATGCAGATTTGCCTTCAAACCCTGGTGTCCTAACCTCATCTGAAGCTTTGATGTGGCAGAGGAAACAGTACATCCTCAGTGCTTGCCACCTGCTCTATAAAACACGCAGCCTTAGAAGAGACATGCATGTAGATGAAGACTTCTGTCCTTTTTCAGCACTTGTTCAAGAAATACCACTGTTTAACGTCGAAGTCGGAGGAGCAAGACTCAACTCAAGCACCACTGAGCACACTTCTACCGTTAAGAAGCTTCCACGGAAAGCCTGGCACAATGCTGTACATAACACAGACCGTAGTTACATAAATTAAATTCCCCCAAGTAAAAGCCCTCACAAACAGAGTGGGGACGTGTCTCTAGCAAGACTTGAAAAACCTGTGACTGATAATGCTACTTCGGGTTCCGAGTTGGTGAAAGAAAAGTAGCGTCTGTTCTTTAGTGACTACTACACAGTTCTGACCATTTCTACCAGTATCTCTTCCTTGTAATTCATATTGATCGTTTCTGCACAGATCCTGAAGCGACGTCCTACACAGCGTATTATTCCAACAGAGGTATTATTCTGTGTTCCTAAGTTATCTGAACAATGATCCAGTATTGCTACTGTTACATTAAGAATAATAAACCTTTCAACATTGCAAAGAGATTCTAACCCTAGAAATCTCATGGCTGACAGCAAGGCAGCCTAGTTAACTGGGAATAGTACCTAAGTGTTTGGAAGGTCTTTACTGAAACCACTTTGGTGTTTCTCTCTCTTTGTTAAGAATGAACAAAACTATATATTAAAAAAAACACCCTGAGGACTAAGAATTTCAGTAACTGGAGATCTGATCCAGCATACCACTTTCCAGGCACATACAGAGGGATAAAATCCCACTAGAGAGTGCTAGTCAACTCTGTAAGACACAACTGCGAGGACCTTTCTGACATATAACTGAAGACATTATTTCTTCTTGAAGCAATTTCTTTTCATCTCAAAGTAGAAAAATTGTTTACTGAGAAGACTGGGGGGAATATTAAAGCACTGTCTGAAGTAATTTCATCATGGGGCTACCTGCTTGCTACTTGAAATAACTATTTTAAATGCAGTACAAGATTGTATACATACAAGATGTATAAATAAATACTCAGTAGTTGCTTAACAGTAAACAGGGAAAGAAAAGACCAACTAGGGCAAATTTGTCACTTGTTGAGTTGCAGAAATAGCCTCTAAGAACAGGATTTCAATCGGTTCTAAACTCGGAAGTAGCTAAAAGATCAAGAGCGTTTTGCACTTGAGGTGCGCTGCATTTTTCTCAGTAACACGGTCACATTAAATCCATTTGCATTCAGTGCTATAAGACTGTTTACCTTCCTGCAGTAACTGGCAGCTTCGCTTTCAACTGTGTGTGGGAATTAAGTCTAATGTACATCATCGAGGAGTACAAGAAGTATTTATTAATGTATATGCACCTACGCATAGACCTATGCATGCACGTGTGTGCGTGTGGATTTTTACACCAAGAAGAGAAGTAGCACACACGTCTCTTTCAGCTGCCATATCCTTAACGCTGGATGTCCTCTACCTTCTGGAGGACTCAAAGTCCACTCTTATTTTTAAATTATTAAGTTTGTTATGGGGTTACAATCTGTCCTTTATGTTCAAAATGGTTGGCTTAGTCTTTTCAGTGACAGTCTGCGATATTCAAACAAGTGAATCCAGAAATGGAAATCACTTTTCATTATGTTCTCATTCATACCTCATATGGGTTTTCACTGTTCATATCTTCTAAAATGTTATATTGCAGGGGAAATACAACAAACAACAAAAGAAACAAACCCCCTAGTTAATAAACCTACACACAGTAAGCATAAATATTTCTGGTAGAAACACATACATGAAAAAAAAAAAAAAAAAAGTACTTCCTTTCTCCCACCCCTTAGGAAAGGAAAAAGATGATCAGCAAAAAGTGATTCTAAATTATAAGTAGTATTTGTGGCTTTTAAAGGTCATCTGAGTCAACGGGCAGTGGTTAAGTAGCTCATGTTGACAGCCCAGGATATTCAAATTCTCTTTTTATGTACAAATCGGGTACAGCAGAGGCACTGGTAATAGTAGCTGTGTCCAGCAGGGCCTCACCAACGTCTCTCAACCGTGACCTGTAGGAACCACCTGGAGGGTTGAAAGCAGAGATCGTCTGCATGATCCAGTCAAGCTTTCGGCTCCCTCTAACCACAGATCACTGCATCGGAGGACAAAGTCTAGCAGTGGTGGAGACTCCCATCTCCAGAGAAGCAGAATGAGATTTCATCCCCATTCACAGAAACTAGTGAATTGGGATTAGCGAATTGAATTGGGATTGAGTTTAGTATTTCAAGATAACTAAGAAGTATCAGCTGGCCTATGGGTGGGGGAAATTTTTTTTTTAAATTAAAAAAAAAGAAAAAAGAAAAAATTGAAAAACGGCTCAAACAAGAAGTGATACTAGAAATGGTTGTTGATTTGTAAAGAAAATCAATTTCTACTGTAAATATCACAGATCTCACTGAAATGAGAAAGATTTCGAGCAGTTTAATCACAACTGAGGTCAGTTCCATCAATCAGAAGCACTCAGGGTGTTACCTGACCTAAGACAAGGGGTTCTAACCAATTACATCATCTCACAGATGACACGAGCTATGGTGCACCCTTTCAAAATTTCAGCACCTGTTCTCCTTCATGAAACCATCAAAATAACTCACAATAAAAGCAAAACTAAAAAAAAACCCCACACACAAAAAAAAAAAAAACCAAAAAAACAACTGAAAAAGTTCTGGAGTTTTCCAAATTATAAGAAAAAAAATATTCTCAGCTCCTGCCAAATCCACTGTAACTTTACAATTTTTCCCCCCAAAATTAGAAGTCACATTAAGTAGTAATGAAGTAAAGCACCAGCATTCCAACAAGATCAAGAGGTCTTTAAATGTAAAGCACTTAATTCACCGTTTTGCCCAAATTTTGGCAATTAAGAAATAAAACACATATGCACACAAAGCTTTGATATTAATATGTATATTTGACAATTACTACCCAAGCATTTTCACAACCAGGCATTACACAGAAGTCAAACAAAATTCACTCTTACTGCTGCTGCTGAACAGCTCAAACTTTTAAAACTTTTTTTTTTTTGATGGTGCCCATAAAAACCCCAGGAAAAAGTGATTCTAAGACTATAATTTGCACTTGGGTGCTTTAAATCACAGTCAAGCAGACAGAACATTAAGAATGGTATGGTTTTTATTTTCTACAGTGGTTTTATTGACAAGCTTATTTTCTTGTAAAGTTTGAAAAGCTAACACTACCTGTCCACATAGAAGGGGAAACAAAACTTGGTCAAAGTCTGTAGAACTTCCTGTGGAGAGAAAAAGAGATAATTTATACATCTGTTGGGACCAATAAATCTAATATTAACCACATCACACAATTTCACAACTTTGCCCTGAAGAAATAAGAGACAGATGAAGAAATATGGGCTTTATCAATTACATGGAAGGAGTACCAGGCAGTCAATCATGTGAAATAATAAACATGATCAAACTTCATTAAAAATGAAAAATTAATCAAGATTCACACATGGGCAGGCAGCAGGAGCCATCCAGCAATTCTCCAAAGAGGAGGAGGAGGTTGGGTTGTTGAGTGTTAACACCTCTCTAGGGACAATCTCTACCCTGACCATATGGATCATAGTGAATAACACCAAACCACATGGGTTTGGCCTGGCAGGACCACTTCTGCTGGCACAGCTTTTGACTGTTACCTAGGAACAGAGGTCTGGGGGATTAGAGAATACTTCCTAACATCAGCAAGATAAATAACAAAAGATAAAGCCAATAGGTCTCATAGCAGGAATGTTTAACGTTGCCTACTGCTATTGGAAAGAAAATCTGAGTGTTAAAAGACTGATTAAAATACTGTGTACTCAAATGAATACAAATTGTGTAGCCTACAAACCATTTTCTAAAAGCTGCGAAACAGCATCACAAACAGAGAAACTTTTAAGTATAGCCTTTGCATGATGTCAAATAAAACCCATGAATATGAAAACTGAAAACGTGATCAGCAGAGAAATTAATCATTTTCAACTTCACCACTTGAAACAAAGACAGTTATTAAAGAGGCAAAACCAGAAACATGTTAGTCCAAAAATAGTTGTGTGCATAGAAAAAAGTAATCCATTTACATTAGATTGTTGTACAATCTTCAAAATTTGAATCTATAACCCACAACCCACCATAAAGGTCTACGCAGTCTGCAGACCTTTGCTAGCCGCCAATTAATTGTTCATTCTCCTTCACACTTCAGTATTTCAGGACCTGAAACGTAAACTATATTTCTGCTTTCAGCTGAAACAAGATAACCCTGACTAAATGACAAACCCTCTGATAAATTCAACACTTTTCTGACCAATAGCAATAAATTATCATCAATAACAAAATTGATGCTTCTCGCTTCGTTTATTTCTAAAACCAATGTCATCATTCAACAAATAAACTACATCAATCTAATAACCTATTCAATGAAGCAGAAAACATATTGACTCCCTTGCAAGAACATGTTCCTCCTACATAATTCAAACAAGCACATCCCATTCTTAGCAAGGGTTTCAGGCTCAACTGCTCATAGACTCTTTGGAGGTTTCTTGACAACAAAAATGTGGCAAGTTCTTAAGATTTCAGGCAGAAACAGATATGGAAACTTTGACTTCTTGACAGTTTATTGATAGATTATTTAACAACCTCCTGTTTTTTAAAGAACAAGGAAGATTCTGTTGAAGAATGCCGTGTAAAGCGAAGAAGTATCCTCCTCTCAATTTCAGCAGGAAATTTGGAAAGGACCTCTATGGGTTTCAGAGTAAACTCTGCAGAAATACGTATTGTGATACAAAATGGTTTGATAGTAAAGGCCTCATTAATGTGATTGGGCTCACTCTCGTGCAGAGCCTCACTGATTTACGCAAGTATTGACCGTCTGCTGAACAACTCTGATTCTTTGTGCACAAACACTACACCCTGACAAATTTTAACTACTACACAGTTGTACTTTACCTACAACCGAAATTTTAATGCATAATATATTAAAAAAACCACCAAACCAACCAAAAAAACCCAAACAACAAAACACAACAAAAAACCCCAAACCCTCAGAATTTTAAAAGAATCAAAATTCTAATTGCAGGAGTGTAAAGTGCCTATATTTTTATTGGCCTTATCAGTACAACTTGTCCTCAAAATAATGACTGTGCTTCTATTTTTTAGAAACAAAGCCACGTAGCTGCTACACAGAATTCTGAAATAAAAGCGTTACAAGATAACAAGTCATCAGTCACCTCAAAATGGCAGAATATATTCTCTCCATTATTTTGATGATTTAAGTAATTGCTGTAACCGCAAGTAAAAACATTCACGTAATAAAACACTTCAGCATCTCATCGGCATTGTGTTATTGTAGGATAAGTGTATTACTCAGAACTTACTTTGCACTTACTTCTTAAGATTTATAGCTTCCTAAATACAGAAAATGAAATTTTCACTTAGAGGCAATATACTGTATCTGTACCATTATGCACTGCCTTGCCTTTTAAAGGCAGATTTTACAGTGATATTATTCTATGGCTTTTATAATGTTATTGGACATAATTTGCCACTCATTATACACCAATAATTATCTGCCTTGATTTACAACTCAAAAATTGAGACTAGTACAGGTTAACTACAGATGTATTTTTAAATTTTAACTATCAAAAATGTATTAAAATAATATTCAGAATTAGTTTTTAATTAGCAAAACTGCTGCTCTTTTGCAGGTAAAAAATACAATTACTGGAGAACTACTCAATTTTTGCTCAAGTTGCAAGCTTGTTACTATAAATCTAAAACACTTTTTCCCCCCCCCCTCTTTAAATACTGCTCTGTTTGAAAGATTAGCAATGCCTACATAGTATACAACTTCCTACCAGACCTCTTTAGGTAGGTGGTTACTTGTGGCCTAGAAATCATCATTTCTTTACAATTTCAAACACAAACCATAACAAAACTAAATCTAGAATCATTCCACGTCAGCATCTTATAACCCTTTTTATGTTTTTACCTGACATGAAACCCTGAGGTGGTATCAATAGCCTGTTTTCTTATTTTTCCCCTATGCCTATTTTCTTAAAGAAAAACCTACATAAATGCCTCTAAAGCAAAACCCCCTAAAAAAAGAAGAAAAAACACAAACCCAAAACCAAAACAATCCAGGACACACAGCTGATAAGCGTAAATTACCCGGTAGCTGAAACCAGTGTCTCTAGGGGATCACATGCCAGTTTTCTGGATCAATCCCCAAGTTTATATTTTCACAAATCTTTTTACATGCAGTTTGATTTTTAACATTTTAATGAGCAAAAAGTGCATCTATAGCAGCCAGTCACCACAGTTAAAGTGCAGGGCATGAACTGTGTCCCCAGAGGGATTGAGCCTAGCCGTGTCACCAGTGGCTTTAGGACATACACCACCTGGTTCCTCGTCCCAAGGTTCCAACTCTTTTCATAATCAAAACACTGCTGACATTATAAACCCCACATGGGTTTTCTAAAATCCTTCCCAATCAATAAAGACAGTACATAACTTATCGGAGACAACACAGAGCTCATTGATTAAGTTTGGTTTCAGTAGCAAAGTTTTCAAAATAAATGAGGCAGGAATACAGTGTTCAGCCCTTTTGTGTCACATCACAATTTATGAAGGTGAGGCAGTCTCTAAAAGGATTTCCTACACACACACACACACACACACACACACACACACGAGAGAGAGACACTTGAAAAGCGTATGGAAAGCAAGGTTGTTAAATACACACAATACATGTTTGGCTTATGTCCCAAATTATCTATATATTGAGATGAAATACTAAAGAAAGCTCAACATTACTGAAAAATTTTGCATATTCACTTGTGAATTTCATATGCAAGCTGCATCTTAACTCAAGTATTTTTTATTTTTAAGCCTTTCACCGTATGCTCCCACTTCCAAGTCAATGGAACAACTTCAGAGCCTCTTAAATATACAGGATTGCTTTATTTCTCTTGTGCAAATGAACATTGGTAACAAATATCCCATGCTGCAGCTACAATTAAAACTGCACTGGTAGACCATCAATTTGCATATCATTTTAACGCAAGAACAGCAGACTGTTGCAAACAGTCTACTCTTAGAAAGACACATGATACAACAGACATTCAATGTGAAACAAGAAGTAGGAGAGAAAAGAAATGAAAATACAGGCAGAGATCTGGGAAAACGATGAATGATTAAGACAAGACACTCAAATATTAATAAGAGTCAGAAAAGGGAAATGATACCCCACCAATCCCAACAGGTTGGGGACCTGTATTGGGAAGCTGACTGGGAAACCTGAGGAAAACCTGAGGGTGAAGTTGAAGACTACCCAGAGTACCGAGGAGACCCTTCACTGTGGATCACGGGGGTAACAAACAAAACCAACGCCAAAAGCCCACTGCCGTATTTCAGAAAGTCCATGCAAATTTACAGGAGGACAATTCAGATATTACAAGAGAACGGGGCATTGCAAACAAGATGAGTTTTCCACAGAGAGAAGAGATGACTCAGCAATAAAAAAGATGAATGTTGGTTTATTTCCTTCACCTTAAACTAGGGGTGAGGTACAGGTGAGGTTGATGCAAGTGGAACGCTAAACAGAGAGGGTGGAAACACAAATAGTTTTCATCTTATCCAGCTTGAAACACCATCTGAATCCAGGAGACAAACATGAATTCCATCCTCTTCGCATGGAGGGATACCAAGACACTTTCAAGAACAGATCGACAGACCGATGACGGAAGGAGGAGAAACTGGAGAGCAACGAGGGCTAAGAGGAGGACAAGGGCAGCCAGGCATACAGGAACGCGAGAACAGGCAACAGGATCCCAACCCGACCAGCAGGCAGCTATAGGTGATTTTGTTTCTGCTCAGAAACAACATCAAACTTAAACATTACAGAAATGTTAATATGGCATAAAAGAGTGCCAAGACACTAACTGAAGCAAAATATAACCCAATTATTTTGAAACCTGGGTTGTACATTAATCCACCGTACAGCCACAAAACTGTAAATTGCTCTTATATTAATTCTTCTATTTGAATTTTTTTGAATAATTTTAAGCTAACAATTAAATCATCCACTGCAACAGAACAACAGATTTAAGAATTCGGAAAAAGTTGTCAGTGCACCCAAATAACCAACTGAAACCAGACAACAACTCTGATTAAAACCCAAAGGGTGATGAAAGAAAAAGCACAGAACAATCTAGAACACCATAAATACTGTTAGCTATGCGAAAGCTGCACGGAA